CACTGTAAATTTAACGTGCGAAATGGTTAGATGTTGGATGTGGCTCTTAAATCTAATATCTGAATCGTCTATTAAATTTTCATTACTTAGCAAAAGCGTTTTGTTTGTCCTCAATCACTTTGATTTGTAGCTTTCTTCTTTTCCCATCAATTAATGATGGTTCGTGACTCAGAACATTTCCAAACTCATCGTGAGAAAATATTCAGTGTGGTTAAAGATTAAGCGTTGAATAGATTCAGTGAATGAATGTCCTAAATCACAACAGGGCGTGAAATCCCATCGCCACCAAACAATACATAACCAATAGCTTCACATGGGGGGCTACTTTGAATGAAAGAAACCATCTAATCGGGAAAAGAAGTGATCAACAAAGTCTTCTCATTTAACCATATATCTATTCATGGTGGGGCGTGATACATGGTTAGTTTGCACTGTTTTGATGCACCAATATCGTCCAGTAACAGCTATAAATCGTTATATAGAGCACAGTTAATTTATCAATTATTATTGGTTCAGATCTTTATAATCTATATCTCAATCGAATGATTCGGTTTTATGGTTAATGGCCCAGCGAATTTCTCACCGAGTAAACGCAGATTCCGGACAGAGGGTACAGAACACAATCTACAATGACAAGGTCCTTCACATCGGTCGATGAAGTACCAGAATAAACCAAATGTCACCCAATAGATTTCCCTCACATATAAACCCAGTGACAAGTGGTATTAAGTGTTCCGGAAAAAGTAACCCGAAACCGGTTATGGACGAGATGTTTTGATCGTTGAAATACAAATACAGTTTTGATACATGCCCCCCACCCCCCAAAAAACAAAAAAAAAACAAAAAATAATTACAATCTAAGCAAATATATGGTTCTAGGGTGAGATGGTTTTGTTGGTGCATAATCAAACCTGAGTGGGAAAGTTTACCATAACGTGTAGTGGATAGGTAGACGGTGGAATAGACCATTCATAAATATTAATCTTTCCGTCTATAAGAGAGCAACGCTGCTCGCCATATCATTGTGTAAAACCATTGCATGATCTCCGGCAAGTAAATAAGATAATAACATTATCCGTCCTTTTAAATAGAGATGGCATGAAATTATTCGTATTAATACAGTCGGAATGAATAGAAGCAATAGACATCGACTTATAATAGACTACAGTTACATCGTCTATGAATGTTATTAGATTATTGACTATGAATATCTACTTTCATATTCAGTCGCTTAATCTGTAGAATTTCACATAATGATACAAGTGAAAGCATTATAGCAGCGTTCTGGACGATTAAAAGGATGGGTTCCATTATGGAAACATTATTGTGGTGGATTTATTAATTCTCTGAGGCTTGAAATCATGACGAGGAATATTTTGTAATCAACTATCAGCAAGCAATTGACGGTGCTCCTTTTTTTTCTTCGAGAAAATGTCATCAATGTTTGAACAATTGAATTAATTATTCATAGAACAATCAAGACATGATTCGCACATCTACGGTTGAATGTTATAGCACAGAAAAAATCGAATTCTATTAAATAAGTCTATTTTTAAAGAAAAGAACAACAAAGGAAATTCGACATCAAGTGGGAACAATTAATTTTTCAACATGTATGAGTATAATAATATATGCCACGATGACCGCTTCGCGAAATGGAATCGCTAATAAACGTTATATGATTTAGATATTAGACATACAACAAAATGGTTTATTAATCTCAGAATAAATGACAACTGTGAAGACGCTGACATAGCCGTATAAATATTCGAATTACAACCAAGTAAATGGAATTGATTTTGTGGGATATGCCGATGATTGACTTACGCATCTTATTGTGTGGATTTGCGTCAATCAAAGAATGAGTGTATCTGTTGTAGAATGAAGAATGTATCTGGAATAATCACTCTGTTGCACACGTTTCAGCACAAATCCTAAAGCAGGTTAAAAGACCATGTGTAACCGTGACACCAATGACTGGAACACTTATGGTCACTTGCCAGTGCCATTTTTCCTCCGTAGAGACTCGTGTTGTTTATGCCAGAATTGTGAAACACATCGCTTTGTTGATGGTTTTAGTCAATATAAAAATGTACTACTACTACAACTCGAGTATCTCAATATGGCACCCTGAAGGATTTATGTTTATTCGGTATAATTTCTCAACTAACCCCAATATAATTGTTCGGCATTTAGAGGTCGCTAAATTCCAGAAGACGACACAATAAAACAATAGTTTATCAATATTAGCGTAATTTGATTCATCGTTACAGATAATTAAACAAACTTTCTTTGGAAAGTATAAATGAAATGAAATGGGGTTTAACGTCCTACTGTTTTGCTCCGAACTGGGCTTATGAAGACGGGCATACGCCATACAGTGTGCTATGAGGGAAATTTTGCCTGGACAGCGGCACTACGGCCTACTCTTATATCGAATTCCAACTGTCAAGGGATCTTTTACGTGCACGCCAATGTGTACACGGGACCTCGGTTTTTCGTTTCATCCGAATGACTAGACAGCTGTCTTTGTCAGGCCCTCCGTCCTGCATCACTGACAAGGGGAAACCACGCCGGAAAATCTGGATGAACTTTCTCGGCTAGCGAGCCAGCGCCTTACCCACTTAGCCACCGTGATCCTTTGGAAAGTAAATAAACTGTAGTGCAAATAGTTGACTATCACAGAGTTCCTTTGTCTTGATGACATATGCCGTAAATGCCTATGAGAAGATCCAAGCTTTATGTTGCGAAATTATAGACGGATATCTGCTATTAGGTTTCAAATCAGTTTGTTAATTTGATTACAGATCTTACTCAATGGTTGTCAATTAATGGCGGTTATCAGTATTTCATGAGATATCTCCCTATTACCCCACTCCTACACTACATCATAGCAATAATTGCATAGAAAGAATTTCCTAATGAAATTACCGCTCTCTCATTCCTGTGTGTACAAGTTCTGAATATCAAAGGTATACGGCTGTAATTATATATTTGCCATGACAGACATACTTGGCATAGTACTAATTAACTTTGTCTAGTAAGCAGCATTACTGTTGAATCAATGGGGTTATAAGGTCTATAACGTGTAAGAATAGATCATTTAACCATTTTCTAGTTGTCTCTTCTGTCTACAATAACGTGCCTTTTTCACCCCAGTCATTGATTTACAAACATTAAACGGACAAATGCTCTATGGTTTTAAACAAACACAATTATTTTAAACGTTTTAAAACAGATACCGTACATGCTTATTGACATAAATAGCGTGTTGTCCACGTTAATGCAACATAGGTTTAATTGATGCCCGGATATCGGCGCCACCAAGGAGGTGAGCACTATGGATTGATTTTTATTTTAACACAAGTACTATGTTTATCACAGACAAATTGTGATAGGAGTTAACTATGTTAATAGTATGAATTCATACAAACTGCGATATCTTTTTGCTGATAAAGTTTTAAGGCTTCAAGGGAAATGGAAATAACTCCGCCGTGAAATGACAAGGCTTATAGGATATATATAATTTATCCCTCTAATTTAGGTTTTGAAAAAGTACATGCTAATAACCTTTATCTATATCATGTCTATAGGTTTTCATGGCAGGAACTGTATATTATAATCCGTGGGATTAAGCGCGATTCGCCAGCTGATATTGAATACCGGAATGTCCCGTTTTAGAATTTCAGAACAAGCATCGACGTTTATCAAATTTGGTTTGGACAGTCGTTTTGATTGGACAGGGTAGATATTGGCTGTAGATATACATAATCACTCTTTATTTGGAGATGGGCGAACTGAAATGTTACTGATGGGTCAAACGTGGTCTCCACTGACGTACACACCTTAACATTAACCAGTAATAAAACAGAGAAAGAATACTACGTTAATATCTCCATATTAGCCATTTGGTCGTGTACAGTTTATATAACAATTTCGAGAACACATTAAAAAGAGAAATAAACTTTTACTGTACTTCTGGTGGTCAGAAAATTGCCCCTAATGCTGAATTGCAAACATATATTTAACACTAAGTCCTACTTTATGCTTAGTCGACATGGTATATGTAATAATATTCATATCAACAGCGAGGCTGATGTTCCCAACCTATCAAATTGCTTACCTATGCTTAACCCGAACGGACAATGCTAATTATCGCACATAGTCAAGGCATTCATGCATCGAAGCTGCACTCCCAAGTTTCATCACTCTTACGCAATTGGAATCAAAGTTATCATGTCCACAGTCTCGACCAATCAAATTGCTGTTGTCGAACTCGTTCACGACAATCTCCTAACGAACAGACGGACATCAGCTGTCAGGAGCAAATGCTCAACATCGAAATCGCCAAAAATATTCACATAAATATAATATCTACAGAGGGTTAAACATTCTTATAAAATTACCTCCAAAAGCCCCGTCTTCATTAGCCTAGTCGGAGCAGAACAGCAGGGCGTTAAACCCCATTTCATTTCAACTCCAAGAGCCTCGCCCAATCTATTGAATATTTACAGACACACGGCTGGACGTATGGACCTAATGTAGTAATCCCCTGGATTGTTCCAAACCCAATTTAAAGTAATACTTTAAAACGTATGGACTATTTTCTTTATAACATATATGCGTTAAAGAAGCCGTTTAATTTTAGCTTCAAAGCAAGATGTCTCTTAAATAATTACAAGTATTTGATTGACATCGGTAATTTTCTATTTCCAAATAATTCTATGGTTTCTGGAGCAACTGATTAATTACAAGGACGCCAGTGATTTGTATTTCTTGAACTCTTGGGCTAGTTAAAAAGGAAAGTTGGATACGTTGCCATGTCTACAAGGTTGTAATTGAGTACCATCAGTTGATCATTGAAACAGATAATTGAAAATCAAAATGCTTTATTGTATGCTTTAAATGATAAACGCTTTTAGGCACCGGATTCAAGACGCGAACGTCACGATTCCCCAAACTAGGTCATTTCGTGATTAAGGTATGCTATAGCATGCGTGTAGGGGACTTTAGCAGTGGAGAAAACTGGAAAAGCCGGGGAAAATCCACAAAATTAGACAGGCGACTACTTTTATTACGACGAAACAACTACATGTGAATCGGTGGCAGACTTTATGATAAAAATTCCCCACCCTACTCTGATCTCTTTACAAATCATCAGTGGTGTTTAGATTTCATTGAACACGTGTGTGAACAGCCCTTGGGTTACCGGAAAAAAATCCAAAATAGAAGAAAAGTACATTAACATGTTAGTCTCCATATGGCCGAAATAATGTAGTGATTGAACTCCATCCCATACGACATTCTCAAACAAAATATATTCTGGATATTCCCCTGAAGGAAATTTGTCATAGCAGCGATTGCTATTATGTCGCTTTGTCGTTTCGGAAATACCATTTCTATGTACCATACCCTTTAACACTACTCGGGCTGAAAGGGTGCGTGTCAGACCGGTATATTCTTAATCTAACTGGAATTTAGCCACATTTGCTTAGTTATTCTAAATTCAAAACAGACGGCGATAGTGATTATTGGACAAATCTACTTTATACAATTGTTAAAAGAGATATTTAAAGTATGATAAAATTAATAGCATAACAATCAATCAAATAGATATTCCTGTACAACATTTATATAATACCAAAATATACATTGTAACAGAATTCAAACAGAAACATTAAATATTAAAAAGCAAATGTATATCAACAAAGGTAAAGCAACTAAGAAGATACTTCCAACAAGTACAGCTTACTAATTGTTGCATTTAAATGTTTTGGACGCACTGGGACTCCTAAAACAGCATATTTCACAACATTAACAATCAACTCATAACAATAGTCACATATCAACAATGTATCTATTTACACCGCAAGTTCAATCTTTAAGAATCTGTGATCACACCAAATTTCAAAGTTAACAATCCACTGAAACAAGTAACTGTGGAAATTTATTTTCACTGTAAAGCGAACACAACTGTTGTTCAATAAAGATTTGTTCTCTCTGACACTGTTTATAGAGCCACGGGTTTCAAATAACCGTGTTCGTCCTGGAACGACTGAGCCACATGATTCTCCTTGGGAAGCATCGGTATTGCGTCTGCTGAGTTATTTTGAACCGATTCGAATGTCGACATCTCAGACTTATCTTCTACGGTGGTAGTCGTAAGAGCAATTGAACGAGCGTAACTTTGGCTCGTTCGCGGGAACATACTATTTTCACCACACAAGGATTTGTTTGCGTCATGTGGTGACACACATTTAAAGGCTTTCATAAAACTTTTTCTAAAATTATCACTGAGAAATGCATAGAGAAAGGGATTAAACATGCTGTTTGCATATGTTAAAACAGTAAACGCGTTGAACAAACTGATCATCCAATTTTGGACCGTTTCTCCATTTTTAAATGTGATGTTAACCTGGAAAATCCAGTATGGTAACCAACAGAAAACGTACACGGATATAACAGATAGAACCATTCTTGTAACTCTTCTGTGGGACTTCTTTTTCTCCTTAGATTTTTTAATTGGGCCGACACTTCGTAATCGCAGAACAACCAGAAAGTAAAACACGGATATTAAGGAAACGGGAATGGCGAATCCCAAGAGGAAAGTGTACCAGATGAAAGCTTTATCGGCCGGTATTGGTTGATCATCGGGCCACGATATGGTGCAGGTATGCTTTTGTGAATCTTTTCGATGTGGAATTGTTGTTGAATACAAAATGATAGGTAACATGACGAGGAAGGAAACGGTCCAAATACAAAGGCACACAAATAAAGCTATTCTTGGTGTGCGATATTTTACAGACCTCACCGGGTGACAAACAGCCAAGTATCTATCGGCGCTCATAACCGTGAGCGTAAAGACACTCGTAAAAACATTGATAGAATAAAGCACAAAATATATTTTACACATAGCAAAGTCAAAGACCCAGTGTCCAAGGAGGGTCGTGGTGGTAAGGAAAGGTAGACTTACAATAAACAATACATCCGATATAGCTAGATTTAATATATACATGTTCGTCACTGTCTTCATCTTTGCAAAGCGGGCAACGACATAGATAACAAGGCCGTTCCCTATCCATCCCACAAATAATATGATAATGTAGCACAACGCAAGTACCATAGGAATGGTTTGGAAAGAAGAAAACTGTCCTGAAGTATTATTAGCAAGAAAATTTGAAAAGTTGTCACCGTCACAATCATCATATGTCGTGTTGTCAAAAGATGAATAGTTGAACGAATCCTCATTCTGCATTTTAATGGTTTTAGAATTCCTACTTCAATCCAGGAAAAACAATAAACAAATGGATATCATCGAAAGCTCATCTCTGATTTACATCCGTAACCACTTGTATAACTGGCTACTATTACTTTCAGTAACTGAACAAATCTGAGCTTATACGTAGCCAGGTGTGTAGATAACGATATACTCTTGTCGACTATTGTTCAGTCCAACAGCGATCAATATTTATTACACAGGGGAAGTAGTAGTGGTAGGCTAGCTAGAACCTATGTAGAAATCCGTGCATTTAACGGCCCACTCTGTTAGACCTTATTCCTCTCTTTTCTGGCTTTCAAATAAAATGTTCAATCTGAAAAATAAAATAGTTTATCGTTGGAATTATTGGTAATTATTTTGTCTCTCTGTTACTGGTTGGCCAGGGTTGGTAGAAAGCTATAATTGGCAGTATTAATTTACGTTTATGTGAGAAAGAGCAGATGGTTTTTACTCTGTGTATACAATTCAAATACTTGATAACCATCCATACACTCATAAGTGTCGACTTATAGGCTATGATCTTTTCTCATAAAACTATCCATAAATTATGATCCCTAACACCCAACCTGTTTATAGGTACACAATGGTCATATTGTAAAATATTAACATTTATGACTGAATACTATCTATAGTTCTATATACCACAAGTAGCGTATTGCCATTAAAACAAGAATTATAAAACCATATATTCCCCAAAGAAAATGAGTGAAGATCGAGAAATGAGTGGGCATCGAATTTTATGATGTGAAGACTTTCCCCACTGAGATTTCTTTGCAATGATGTAAAGGTTACAGCTATCGATAAATGTATTACCAGACATTCAATGCGATCAGCGAGATATATTTAATTCTGATTTACTACATTATTTCCTTTATATAAAGAGATATATTTTTTCCATTTTTCTTTTTTTTTTCTAAAAATAACCAATTTTCCACGACTTAATCTGCAATAAAATGTACTAAGAAACAAAACCGAACTATTAACGATAGCTAATTGTCTGGCTTGGATTCGGATTTAAAGATGCCCCATCATAACAGGTATACGAAAAACATAGGTGGCACTTGTTGTTGGCTATATCCAATATATTGTCTTCAATGGATACTGAATGTTGACAAAATTTTAATTCAACATACCTTAGTAAATACTAAACGGATTAATATTCCTTGTAGGGATTCACCTTATGGTAATTTGCAAGATAATAACAATACCTCAAAAAACGTATAGACGCTTTAAAAAGTATCAGTTACTGCAATGATAAATATAAGCGAATCGATATATACCTACTAAAATATGTTTTTTATTTAAAAGGGCAAAGATGAAATGTTGATAAAGAACGTCTGATTAAAAATAAGATCGATTTTAATCAGCAAAGAAAAAGCTTTACTCTTTTTTATATATAAAATGTCTTAAAGTCTAGAACAATCGCAAAACATTAAATTCTGTACATATATCCCAAGTAATTGTTGACATTACTTACCAAATTATCCAATATCCACTCACATATTCCGTAGAATATTCATCATATTGAGTATTGCTGTAGGTTATATATTCAATGGGCCTTTTCTGGTACAAAGCGTCTATATATCGGTAATGGGTCGGCGAACAAATCTGAAATTGTACACAAAATTATTCTTGAAATTGTACACAAAATTATCATCCTACATACGTAACCCAACCTTGATTCATGCATGATACTCGCAACTTCTAAAATGGTGGTGATGGTTTGGAAAAATTAGTTATTTGATTGCCAGAAGGAAACCTTCACCATACGTGAACCATAGGTAGGTTGGGTTGATAAAAGAGCTCCACACGCAGACTTGTCAATGAGAATTGGTATCGAGTGATCTATAAAGAATACACATATTTCAGGAATTCTATTAAAGAGTCTTAATGTTATCTCAAAAATATTAATGTTACCAATCGGCGGCAATCGCCAAAAGAGATTAATTTGAGTTCACTGTTTCCTAATTGCTATAATACAATATTAAAGCAGATGTTATCGACGTGCTACATCTTTTACGAAACAGTTATGACAGATATAGCGATTGATAGGAGGTCAATATTTTTGATAGCATCTTCAAATACGACTAACTAGGAAATACTGGACCAAAATATGCCCAATTCATTAAATCAGAGTAGTGTCGTATGTGCTACCCACTGGACAGGCCCGTAGGGATAACTATGCCTTAATGATAAATCTTTAATATATGCCATACCAACTAAGACTGGCACGTGAACGGTTTGTAAACCATTGTTGACATTTCAAAATGTAGCCTCGCCTATCACTATTATATTAATTATATTTATCACCTTTTGTGTTATAACTAGCAAATATTTACGCAATTAGACCCATCAAATTCCAGTCAAGATGGCCGCTTTAAAAATCTGTTTCTTGTAGACGGGATCAATAACGAGATAACGGGCCCAGTTCACATTAAAGATACGATTGGACTGGGTGACCGACTCTGGTAGAAGACATCCACTACATCAGAAATTAAATGAGGTCTAACCTCCAACTGTTCTAATGAAGACGGGCATACGCCATACAATGTGCCAGGAGGGAAATATTTCCCGGACAGCAGCGTTATGGCCTACTCTTATCTCTAATTCCAACTGCAAAGGGTTCATTTTGTACGTCCCGAACGACTATACGTTGTATCTTGGCAGGCCCCCCGACCTGTGCCACTTACAATGGGGAACCACGCTGGAAAATCTGATGAACTTTCTCGCCGGCCAACCCCGGGCTCGAACACGGGACCTCCAGGTTACCGAGCTAAAGTCTTATTCACTGAGTCACAAAACGGGTGGGTGCTGACTGGAAACCTATGTCTATAGACTTAAATAAACGTCGACTATTGCATAATTTAAGCTGATAAAAAAATAATGTCTGTATATACTCGACATTTCTTTTATAATTCCGAGAAAAAAAAGGAGAAAGGAAACGCATTGATATAATACATTTCGATAAGTTTTCAATTTCTTCTCGATCGTCATCAATCTTAGGTTAAACATAATGTAACAGTTCTATCTCACATAGCACAAGATTAGAAATAATGATTCCGATAACGTTGACAAATAGGGTCGGAAAAGAGAAATGTAAAAATGTAATAGCTAGTGGATAGGCAATAACGATTTCTTTTCACTGTCTTCAATCTCTAATAATCTAAAATCTCAACATGTAAATAATATCAGAGATCAGCTAAGACCTGAAATCAATCCCAACAAAACCTGTTGCTCCGAGCACCAGAAAATGACTTAACAGTACAGCAAAACCATATCCTAAATAAGGTAATAGACACGTTGGTGCCATGAGATTGTAAACACTCATACGTCCCAATTATTGTCATTTACTCACGGCATAGATACAAGATGACGTCGTTTTGCCCCTGGGCACTGATTGTGATATATTGTGGGGGTGTTGAATCAAGATAAAAAAAACATTACAAACTAAAGCCTTTATAACATGATCATAACCACTCAAAACAATAACATAATTCCCGATCCCTCGAAATGACACCAACAATTACCTTTACGCTTAAATTACTGTGACAACGGTAAAACCTTTTAGAGAGATTGGGATATAGTACCACCGATCCGAAAGTGCAATTATTTAAAAAAAAAACCTATAGCTCCAAAAATACAAATTAAAAATATACTTGGAATGAAAAATAATGGAATTCATTGAGGAAAGATGGTATATACTAAAATAGACAGTTGGCAATTTATGACTGATATAGTCAATATCGAGTGTTACATATAATCAATGTTACGTGGGCATCGGTCGTTACCGAGAAAATGTGCATTTTAATAGTATTACAATTGCCATTTTGACATTATCAACACTCATCACATTATAATGTCAACACATTCGAAGATCTATTCGATTAAACTTTTCACTGATATGCCCGAAAGTGTCACAATTGTGTTGAAAATAAATAATGGCCAAATTGCAATGATTTTTGGAATTTGCGACAAATGCATATATTCCATTATTTTGACTATTTTATACACGAATGGGGAATGGCCATCAAAGTATGTCTAGCCGATTCGATTCATAATGGACAAAATAGGTTGGAAATCAGGAATTATCATCTAATTAGTTTAACCATTTTGTCGGGGATTTTGAAGGGTAATCCATTTTGATAATGGCCAGTAGTAGACATATTTTTTTCATCAAATCATGTCTATTTTATATCAAGAACTGAGCAACATTAAATCCAGCGGTTTAATCATGACGTTAATGGCGAATTAAATACATTTCTAGGAATAATGAAGCTTATTCTATTTTATGATACTAATACATCATAATTGTCCTTTAAATGACCATTGCACAATAATATTAACCGATTTATTTAGCAGTGACACGTGTCATGTACTTCCCAGACCACCACATACCACTTCTTGCGAAGCGCTCGTATAGCCGATTTTTTTTTTCATTGCAGATATTAATGTTTTATTTAATCCATTTTCCAAGTCGTAATTTATTCTAAAAGAAAATGATTATATGTCATTAAAGGGAAAGGTGTTTAAATATTCATAACCAAGAGATTTAGCGGTAACCGTTCATTCATCTTATTTACAATAAGTGCATCAATTAATCTGTTATTTAATACTATATGGTGTCGTCTTACATTGGTTTAATTCTTTTTATAAGTCAACATTTATAATTTGCCTGGAAGCACTGGGGTCATACGAGAACGACTACAGCGACTAAAGTTTTTTTAACGGATTTTCAAATCGGGTGCGAAGCCTTGAGAACATGACAGGGCGAAACATGTTTATATCCAGTTTTCCCCCAAAGTTCCGTTCAAGAGTTATGCCTTCGTCTTTGAACACCTTGTGGACAGGATATAAGCCAACAGAGGTCGAACGCTGTCGATATACAACGTTTTGCGACCTTCCGTTTTGATGTCACCCTGCCTTCCCCCTCTGTAAATACTCTGGTTATCTTTATATGGTTCAAATCATTAAACTGACATCTTCTAAAATATTTATATGTATAACTAGTAAAAAGAGTGTCAAACTAGTTATATTATAGATGTATACATGATTAAGATAAACAAAAAATGTGTTAATATGTCCGCCGAATTCAGTTCAGATCTCGGAAGATGTGTTTCCAAATCAGCTTAAAGGAGTCTTATAATATTATTGTCAACCAGTTCATTGCCGTATTTCGTCCAGTATTCTTTAAAATGTACAATTCCAGAGCTATAAATAAGGAAATAAATAATTCTGTAATAAAATCAAGCGATTACTGTTCAGCTCTCGGAAGTTGTGTTTCTAAATGAACTGAAAGGGGACTTAATATTGTTGTCAACATGTTCAATGATTTTATTAAGACTTAAGCTCGAATCCATCAAATCTTAGCTTAATCTGCTTTGCGTGTAAAACCTGATGTTTATAAACCTCTCATCCCTGTTACTCGGCTCTTGTTAGCATCTTAAATGGAGTCCATGGAAGCCATAATTAAATTAATGTGTGAGTTTCTGTGAATATTCAAAGTATGGCATTGCATTGTTTATAGATCTCGCAGCCATTTATCAAATTAAATAATCGAACATTAACCATCTTTCCAAAGTCCATTCTTAAAGAGCTTGTTTGCGTAAAATATACTGTTGTAAAGTGTTCCTTCAGCTCTATGGGTAGTGGCAAATTTTCGGCGTTGACGTTACGATTCGCGTTAACTTAATAACATATTGTCAGATCTGTTATAACAAGTTTTATCAAATAATCTTATATTTTAAAAAAACACATTCCACAGCAATCGAGAACAGTAGATGATCATCGGAGGAGTGATAGTTTCATAAATAATGAAATATGGTAGCCTCGTGTATGATGTATCAATGCATTTTCTTCTCGAAAATGCGAAACATTAACAAAGAAAAAAACATCATGACATCCACATGTTCAATACATGCTATTGTAATATGGTTATGTTCTTTAGCATCAAACCGCATATTGTATTTTACTTCTGTAAATATTTTTGGTTATTTATGATCTTCATCAAGTATACAAAACAAAGAGAGCTGAAGCCTTGTGATGTTGTGATTGCTTTCAGATCTTTATAAAATCTTTGGTTCCATAAATATTTATCTTGTAGGTAATCGATATTTGTCATTTTGTATTTAAAATTAAAACAAACTATTCGATTGTATATTAACACTGATAACACAAGGGCGTGGACACATAATGAGAGAATAAGCTTCTGTTTTGTTTCTAGGGTTATATCACTAAGGTTATCACAAATGTACTATCAAGAAATCAGATATGGTTAAGACAAATACCTTTGATTGAATCGTCAGATCGAAATTAAAGCACCTAATACTTCTTCCGACCGGTCCTTCTCAGGAAATCGATTAATTTGTGAAGTGTTTGTAGCCAATTGATTATGATATGCTATAAATAATAGTACCAGCAGACTATGGAGCGAGTACATATATAACGAGTTCAGTTTATAGAATAACACCTGTCCTAAATTAACAAAAAAAATGGTAGTTATTACATGGTTTAAAATGCAGATATTGTCACGATTGATCGCATTTAGGGTCATTAAGCACATTATTAGTTTTAGTGGCATATATTTAAACAGTATATATGTATCGATTTAA